TATTTTTATCCCAGTCAAAAGAAGTAACAGCCTTATGAATTCCTTTCTTTGTCAACATTTTTAATATCCAGAATTCCACTTTTAAAAACAGAAAGAGTGTCTATATAGACACAGGCAGATGTTCACATTGTGAATATCCTAAATATGTTCTCAAGCTTCTCTTTCAGAAAAGTGATAAATCTGTACATTTGTGAATTTTCTAGAAATAGTCTGATTTACTGCTATTTTTATAGTGGTCAAAATCAGTGGGAAAATTAGCAAAAATGGATAGTCATTTTTAGAAGTTAAATTTTAAATTGTACAGATTATACAAATGTACCATGTGTACACAGACATTTAAAGATTATTCTAACTAGAAAAAATTATATAAATCTTTAAATGCAAAGCAGTAGTTAAAAACTTGAATAATGTCTATAACACTGATGATATTACAGATGAAAAATTGATTCGTAAATGAACCATAAGGCATACTCTTAGACATCAGAGAATGTAATGACCATTTCATATAGAAGAAAGCAGACAACACTAAAAACTCTCCAATGTTGTATAGAAGACAAAATTTTAAATATTAAAGTGAATATATGGAGAGCAAAAACCTGTGTCTTGAGGCCAACACTCAGTATTGTTACAAATGTGCATTGCGTTCCGTCAGGAAGTGGGATAGGGCATAGCAGAAAAGAGCCTCCTTCCTCTAGGACTTGCAGTCGGTGGAGGATAAATGATGCACAACGACCTTTTCAAAGCCACAATATAAAAGACATATGGAAAGAGTTCTGATACAACTGCTGAGCTCTGTCCAAGTTTAAATCTGATTAACTGGAGCTTAGGTATAATCTAATGCATATAGTAAGTGATAAATAAATCCATTATTTGACTTTACTAAGTGGGGGTAATGACCTGGATAACAGTGAACAGTTATCCCCAAAATTTAATCTCTTAGTTCTTGAAAAATATTCTTCTATACAGATTAAAAAGAATTTCTAGGAGCCGGTGCTGTGGCACAGTGGGTTAAGCTGTCTCCTGCAATACTTGTATCCCACATGGGCCCTGGTTTGAGTCCTGGCTACTCCACTTAAGATCCAGCTCCCTTCTAATGTGCCTGAGAAAGCAGTGGACGATGGACCAAGTAATTAGGCCCTTGTACCCACCTGGAAGACCCAGATGAAGCTCCTAGCTCCTGCCTTCAACCCGGCCCAGCCCTGGCTGTTGCAGCCATTTGGGGAGTGAACTAACAGATGGAAGATCTCTTGTTCTCACTCTCTGTATGTCTATATCTATCTGCTTCTGCCTGTCTGTCTCTGTAACTCTGCCTTTCAAATCAATAATTAAAAAAAAAATAATTTCCAAATTGTCCATCAGATTCTTAACTGGGTCTCAGACTTGGCAAAACATTCAGAAAGCATGCTAGTGGGTTTATGGAGGGCAGTTGGTGCCTTAGCTTATTATTTTGACCTTGCACACAAAAGCTTCTCATAAATATTTTCCATCTGTTGAATACATTCTAAATCAAATTTAATATTCTTGTATTATGTTGGCTTTTGCTACATTATAACTCCAACTAGGAGTGGGTTTTTTGATCCTATGTATTCAGAATTAAGCATACTCCCTTGAAGATGCTTGGTGTATAAATGTTTTGGTATTTCATGTTTAAAAATACTCAAAGAGCTATCAGCATTTTGATGAATATCAAAAATATTACATGTTAGTTTGACTATTCATGAAATGATAATAGTTTTCCTAAAAGTAAAAGGGGAAATTTTCATCTGGAGCCAAGGTTGTGTCAGTTTTATAAAAAAAAAAAAAGTTACAACTTTCTATAACTTTATTATAATAAATACTTTGATATATTTGGATTTTGACTTGTTCTTCTTAGTACATTAGGAATTTACCACCCTAAAATTCATATCATTAGCCAGCTTCTCTTGGTTATTTATCATTTGGCAGTTGTCTTAAAAACTACAAATAAAATTGATTACTTTTTCACCCCTTGGTGGTATTCCTGCCTTAATCAATAAAGCATAGCCTCCATATATCTGCTGAAATGTTAAATTGTTCCAAAAGTAGATTAAAAAGTGAAAGTGATAAAGATATTTTTATTCATCTTTTATGGAGGATACAAAGATTAAGGGGAACTCCGAACTGATGACAAATGCAGGATTTTTTGGTGCTAATGTTTTTGAAAGTTAGTTACAATAATTTATATTGAATTTTGAGTTTTATGAAGTTAAAAGTATCTGAATGAAAGCTAAAATATCTATCTTTTATTCAAAGTTAAAATATATGAGAAGACCTTGCCACACAGTGGGTTGTGCTGCCACGTGGGTTACTTGTATCCCATATCAGAGTGCTCAGCTGTTCCATTTCTAATCCAGCTTTCTAATAATGCAGCCTGGGAGGCAGCAGATGATGGCTCAAATGCATGGGCCTCTGCCACTCGTGGGAGACCCAGATGGAATTTGAGGCTCCTGGCTTCATCCTGGTCCAGCCCTTGTAGGCATTTGGAAAGTGAACCAATAGATGGAAAATCTCTCCCTCTCCCCTCCTCCTCCCCTCTCCCTTCTCTCTCTCCCTCCCCCTTTCAAGTAGATGAAAAATAAACAATTGTAAATGAAATAAAAGTATTTGGCAATTTATATAAATATGACACTGTTTTTATGAAAAATTAAAAATGAATGGATGTATGTGTGATGACAAAGGGTCATCATAAGCACATCTGGTATTTTAATTTAAAGGCTAGCTGTGACTTTTAAAGATAAAGGTCATATTATAAAAATGAGTACTAATTATCTTTAAATTGAAAGACAAAAATATTTCTTCTGAAATGAAGATTAATTCTGACTTATTTGAATATGTATCATTAGACTTTTCAGTTATTCCAAACCATTAGAGTCACTTATCATATGATATATTAATTATAAATATTTAAAAACCCTTGTAAGCCTTTACCCAGTAATTTTATTAGAGTGTATTGACTTCCAACTGTGAATTGCTTTCACTAACAGGTTAATAACATGTGAGTGATATAGAAATTAATTTGTGTAAGATACTTTTTTTTAAAGGTTTATTCATTTATTTGAAAGTCAGAGTTACACAGAAGGAGAAGGAAAGGCAGAGAGAGAGGTCTTCCATCCGCTGATTCACTCCCCAATTGGCCACAATGGCCTGAGCTTAGCCAATCCGAAGCCAGGAGCTTCTTCTAGGTCTCCCACATGGGGTTCAGGGGCCCAAGAACTTGGGCAGTCTTCCACTGCTTTCCCAGGCCATAGCAGAGAGCTGGATCAGAAGTAGAGCAGCCAGGACTCAAACCAGTGCCCATATTGGATGCTGGCACTGCAGGTGGTGGCTTTAACCACTACACCACAGCGCCAGCCTCAATATGTTAAGTACTTTAAAAGTAAAGTATGGGGGCCCACACCATGGCTCACTTGGTTAATCCTCCGCCTGCGGTGCCAGCATCCCATGTGGGCACCGGGTTCTAGCCCCGGTTGCTCCTCTTCCAGTCCGGCTCTCTGCTGTGGCCCGGAAAGGCAGTGGAGGATGGCCCAGGTCTTGGGACCCTGCACCCACCTGGGAGACCAGGAGGAAGCACCTGGCTCCTGGCTTCAGATCCGTGTAGTTCTGGCCTTAGCGGCCATTTGGGGAGTGAACCAGAGGAAGGAAGACCTTTCTCTGTGTCTCTCTCTCTCACTGTCTAACTCTGTCACCAAAAAAAAAAAAAAAAGAGAGAGAAAAAGAAAAGAAAAGTAAAATATGGTGACTGTGAGACTGAAACAAGGCATTTGTGGAGAGAATCAGGAAAAGTAAGCCAGATTTTCTGAAGATCAGTTTTGCTGTGATGTGGACAATTTAGGGAAAATGTGTAGAGTCAACCAGGAAACTCAGATGAGCAGAAGTGATTATTGAAAGAGATGTAATACAGAGAAATAATGGATCCAAACACTTTTTAGAGCTCAGATCAGTCAGAGATGGTATCCAGGTGTGAGGGATACATTTGAGAGAGGGGTGGATGAAGAATGAATTCTAGATTTCTGGCAAGAGCACTAGGAGGGTATTGTATGAGTTTATTGAGTTGGGAAATGCTGGAAGAGGACCCAGTTGGGAGAGATGGTGCTGAGATCAGAGTTTGATGGATTCCTGTGAGATAGCTGAGGGTCTGCCTAGCATGCAACTCGAAGATAAACTGGGATTGCAGATCCCAGGATCACTGGCTTCAAGAGCCCAAGACCCTCAAGTATATGAGGTAATGGAGAGCAAATGTGAACTGAGAAGAAAATGAACTTGAAATCCCCCACATTGAGCTGTTGAAAATGGAAGGAGGAAGCAGCTAGAAAAACAGAAGAAGCCACAGTAACTGATACGATTTTAAAAATATAGTAACATCATCATTTTGAATTTCATGTTTTGACTAGGGATTCCTGTGTAACAGTAAAAATCAGAGGACTTCCAAGTTAACAACACCTAGGGTTTCCTAGACAGTTTTAGCACTGAAAAAAATGACTGTTTTCTGTAACACTTGACAACACTATGAGAAAGCTTTAAATGATGCCCGTGATGCCGAAAGTTAAATGCTCTAAATCAATATGTTTTCTTAGAAGATACTTACAGATCTACTCTCCACCAAAAATGTAGTGTTCTTTATAGAGTTTAAATATACAGACAGGTTTTTTTTTTGTTGTTGTTGGAAATACTGTTGCCATTTATTTGTGGTAGTTTCATGAAGTGTGGTTCCAGTCAAATGGTGCTTTTCACTGGGAGTGAACATTAAATCTCACAGCTGGTTTGGAATTACTCTTTTGGTCCTTTTCTGGAGTTAGCTACAAAGATAATCATAGAAGAGCAATTCATCATTATTAATGTATTCTGTAGCTTAACCTTGGCAGAGCTCAAGTTACTTTAAAAGTTTGGTTTAATAAATGAAACAAGTATTATTTTCACAACATTCTTGGTGAGGCAGATGTACTTGAAACTGCCTACTGACATGTGTCTCATTTTCATCGCAGGATTCCCTAGGCATGCAAGGCCCCCAAGGTCCACCTGGAAAAGAAGGTCAGAGGGTAAGTAAACTTGGAACAACTGGTGGGCATTACTAACCCAGGGGTTACTTATTTCTGAACACTGATAAAAATGAAATCAAAATATAGCAAGTAAATGGACATAAGGAGAGTATTGAGTATCCAAAGGCTGAAATTTCAGATTTGAGATTTCAATGGAGTTTTACAATTCAGAATAGTCTATATGTTTTTACAACTGGCAGCACAAGTGCAGAGGTATTGTTTGGGCTAAATGAATTAACCCTAATTTGATCTAGAGTACTTTGGTCATGTTTTTAGTTCTTGTGATAAGCTGATGAGTATCTTTGTGGAGGTTCAACCCATTCAACAATTCTATGAAGATTGTGAACATTAAATGCATTCTTTAGCAAATTAAATCATTAACATCAGTGACTCTTCCTTAACTCCCCTTTCATCATTGAGATAAAATATACAGTAAGTGAATAGATTGCAATTTCAGCTGAGGTTACAGTAATGACCATGTGTCTCTGGTCCAGTCGAGTCTCCTCATCACCTGCTAAGAGGAATTCTTGCTGTGTAGTGATGACGGTTTGTCTTCACCTGAACACTGAGGATTTCATTCTTATGGCTCACCACTATCGCTATGTCCAGATCATTCTAAAGTCTCAGAACTTATGTATGTGTGCTTTCCTGTATGATTATTCATGAAGTCTTTGGGTTAAATAGAACAGGTCTGATCAATTTCTGTTACTTACAAAGGAGGATTATGTGAGTTAGAGTGTTCAAGTGACTGCTGAAGTTGGGCTTCTGACTCTGGTCCCCATGTCCTCTCTACTGTGCCCGTTTATTAACCCCATATCTGATTTTTAGTCATTTCCAGTAGTTATTCGCAATTTGTCCTGCTAGCAAATAAGTCTGTTTGTTAAAATGCATCTGAGGGCCGGCGCCATGGCTCAATAGGCTAATCCTCTGCCTTGCGGCGCTGGCACACCAGGTTCTAGGCCCGGTCGGGGCGCCGGATTCTGTCCCGGTTGCCCCTCTTCCAGGCCAGCTCTCTGCTGTGGCCAGGGAGTGCAGTGGAGGATGGCCCAAGTGCTTGGGCCCTGCACCCCATGGGAGACCAGGAGAAGCACCTGGCTCCTGCCTTCGGATCAGCGCGATGCGCCAGCCATGGCGGCCATTGGAGGGTGAACCAACAGCAAAAGGAAGACCTTTCTCTCTGTCTCTCACTGTCCACTCTGCCTGTCAAAAAGATAAAATAAAAAAATTAAAAAAAAAAGGCATCTGAGTTCCCCAAATATTTGAGGTCATATTGTATATTTTACCAAGGTTTACTTTACTGGGTTAACAAAATCTGAATTCTCTTAACTTGCTTATAATATGGATTCCTCACACTTCCACCCACCCCAACCCCAACCCCAACCCCAACCTGCTAATGGTCCTTCTCAGAAAGGACACATTGATCTTCTGGAGATGTCAGGAATGGAACTGGACATGTGTGGTCTCATTTAGAGCAGGGTAATATGTAGCAAGTGTGTCCTGTGCCAGGGACAGTGTCCTTGTATTGCAGCTTCAGGTTGAGTCTGTGATCCTTTGTCTAGTGTCCCACTATTGACTTTTACTGACCTGTGCTCAAGTAAAGACTCCCGTCTTTTATTTTCATGAAAATTTCTATCAAGTCGTATTCTCATTAAAGAAAAATCGTGTTGGCCTTGTTAAATCACACAATAATAATTTAAATCCTTCTTAAATTCCATCTTCTAGACTTTAGTCCCTAGTAGCATTTCATTATAGGGCAATATTTCTTTCAAAGAACTTGAATGCTGTTTTTTCAGTGGAATAGCTCCCAGCTTTATGTCACCTTAAAAGGTAGCCTCCACCTTTCTTCAAATCATTAATAAATCCAGAGCAGAACAGGCCTGAAAATGCTATGTAACACTGGCAGAGTGGGCCATCTTTTCTACAATGGATGTTCTTGTGGCACGATAATCCAGTCACATACATCTGCATTTGAACTCTAACTCCTCCCCACCCACATTTCTTAATTTGATGTGGAAGATAATTGTGAGAGACTTGTCAAATACTAGCTGAAAATGAAAAAATATTCAAATGAGGCTTTTTAAAAATAATAATGCTTCAAGTTGAAATTGTACCTATCAGAAAATGTAGGTTAAAGAATAAATCTTATGTATTTTTTCATAATTATGGAGTAAATTATTCAGATTTTAAAATTCAATCACTATTTTACGTAAATTTACCCCCATTTAAAAATGTGTATAGTCCAGATAATTTATATTATTTTTGTTTTTATCTTCTACAAAAAGAGTAATGTCATCTCAGATCCTAAAAAATATAATAGAATTTTATAGACATAGTTTGTATTTATTGCTACTGCTCTTTGACAAATACCATATTTATTAAAGCCTAGGCAGAGAAGGTATTAGAAGCTAGGAGCTTCTTCCAGGTCTCCCACATGGGTGCAGGGGCCCAAGCACTTGGGCCATCTTCCACTGCTTTCCCAGGCCATAGGCAGAGAGCTGGATTGGAAAAGGAGCAGCTGGGACATGAACTCGTGCACATGTGGGATACTGGTGTCACAGACAGAGGCTTAGCGTACTGTGCCACAGTACGAGCCCCACAGCTCAGCTTTTGGACATATAAAAGCAGTTGCAGGGCTGTCGCCTGCAGTCCTGGAATCCCATAATGGGCGCCATTTGGAGTCCCGGCTACTCCACTACTGATCCAGCTCTCTGCTGTGGCCTGAGAAAGCAGTGGAAGATGGCCCAAGTCCTTGAGCTCCTGCCCCCTTGTGGGAGACCCAGAAGTAGCTCCTAACTTCAGATTGGCGCGGCTCCAACCACCAATTGGGCAGTGAACCAGAGGATGGAGGACCTCCCTCTCTTTCTCTCTGCCTCTCCTTCTCTGTGTAACTCTTTCAAGTAAATAAATAAATCTAAAAAAAAAAAAAGCAGTTGTATGGTTATGTCTGTGTGTGGTAAGGTGTACTCCTATATTTTGATTACATATGTTTGACCAGGCAAGCCTTAGGCACTTTACTCCTAGGCATAGTGTCTTTAATAAATGTAGTATTTAATTTTAGACAAATCATTAACTTGTTAACTAAGGAGAACATGTATTTGATCAAGAAAATCTCAGGTAAAATGACCCTTTTCACTGCTACTTCATTGAACCTGTTATTTAACTTGGATCAGAGTTCTTCCTTTATCTGGACATCTGTCCCCTTGCTCTGATACCCCCGCTGCTTCATGATGTCCTGTACTTATCCAGCTTGATAATAAAATTCAGTAAGTAAAAATTTTCCAGACATGGAGAAGATTGGTTTCTCTTTCTTAAAAAAGCAGAGATGAGATTGATGCTGTCATTGTACAGTTGCTCAGATCTGTTTGTCTTAGGAATTAATGGCGCTGATCTTGCCCAAATTTACCAGGACTTGCGTGGTAACACACTTTGTTTTTCTTTAGGCTTGTTTGTTTCAGAACTGGTTTATGTGCTTTTCCTCAGATGACAGAAGTAACATAAATTATATTCTAATGATTTCTGGATTATATTGTTCCCATTAGGAAAAAAGACGTCAAAGTCATTGCTTCAGGAAACCCAGCACATACTACGAGTCTCAGCTAAGCAAAATGTTCCTTAAGCTGATTTGTTTTTATGGGGCTGGATATATTTTTCAAGTGAAATTATGCTTCTATGGCCTAGCTGTGTTCAACGACAGCTTTACAGAACACAGCAAGCCAATGAGGCAGATCAGACCTACCTCTCAGTGCAGTAAAAAATAAAAACAAAGTAATATTTCTCCTTGCTTTTAGTTTATTCCAGAGGGCTAACTTCACAATTATGAGAATGACCTTAAGGTCCCAATGAAGAGACTTCGGGGCCAGTAGAAACCACTAACCGTTGATTCATATCGTGACATGGGCTTGTATCTGCGTGGGGAGAGAGGTTCTTACAGAGAAGATTATGTATACGGATCGGGTTTCAGCCTCTGGAAGTAATTTGATTAGTTTCACATAAAATGAGGGGGGAGGTAAAATTTGTCATCTCATCTTTATGGGTCAAAACTGACATTTACCTATAAATGTATGTGAATGCATCCACAATTCTGCTTACTCACTAGAACAATGATTGGTGTTCTTGTACCAAGAAATTCTATTACTAACAATAAATGTTAAAATATATATTTGGCCGGCGCCGTGGCTCAATAGGCTAATCCTCCACCTTACGGCGCCGGCACACCGGGTTCTAGTCCCGGTCAGGGCGCCGGATTCTGTCCCGGTTGCCCCTCTTCCAGGCCAGCTCTCTGCTATGGCCAGGGAGTGCAGTGGAGGATGGCCCAGGTGCTTGGGCCCTGCACCCCATGGGAGACCAGGAAAAGCACCTGGCTCCTGGCTCCTGCCATCGGATCAGCGCGGTGCGCCGGCTGCAGCGGCGGCCATTGGAGGGTGAACCAACGGCAAAGGAAGACCTTTCTCTCTGTCTCTCTCTCTCACTGTCCACTCTGCCTGTCAAAAAAAAAAAAAATATATATATATATATATATTTAAAATGATAGTTTTAACTCTGGTCTTAGGTAAGACAAAAATATCTAAAGGACCCTCTTTTTTCTTGTATCTATACATGACCATGTAAATGCACATGTTATAAATAACAGCAGAGGTTCTGGATTTTATAACTAGTGGTTGATATTTATTGCATTTGTTAAAACTTACTGGCATACAGTCAACATCTTTTTACTTTTACATTCACTTCCTGTGAAATTACCTCAGGATGTCTCTATGAGGATCACCTTGAGATGCTATCTGACATTTCTAGATGGATAAATGAGGCATTGTGTATCCTGTTCAGATCTCAAGCAGGAGTGCTGTAACCAACTAAGAGGCCAAAAGTGATCAAGTCTACATTTATAAATGCATGCCTGTTTGCAGAGCTGTACAGTAGACATTAGATATTTGGTGTCTCCCAAATCTGGATTGAACACAGTTGCTGAAGTAAAGAAGTAAGACAAGAAGAAGTGAAAGGAG